TCATATCACCTATAGAAGATCGGCCAAAACGTTGGTCAACGTCTTGCGAAAATTCTCTAAAACGAAATTTTTAAACGAATTCTGACAAATGCGCTCTTTTAAGCAATCAGCACCATAAACTTCAAATATCTCTGTGTGAGCCTCAGCTGTTTTCTTGCCTTTATGAAAATAAAAAAAATCAATTATGTCGAAAACATTTATTTTTGCACAACATGCTAAAATTGATCGTAAAATAAATAATGTAAACAAACATGCATGGAATCTGTTTCGATAGCAACCTAAAAATGCCAACTGATAAATACTAAAAGAAAAAGAATTATAAGATTGGCAGAAGAATAACGTAACAAATAACGTAATCTTTGAGTAAACTGAAACTACTGAACTAAAATTTTTATTTAATACCGAATACAACCGAATTACTTGCCTACTCAATATTTCGTTTTGCTTTTATTTGTTTTAAAAAGATAGCTTATAGATAAGTAATGCTTATACATAAATAATGTTGACATTAAAACTTAATTTTAAGAGTTGATTAAAATAAAGAAAGAATGGACGTCAAAATTTTCAAACACGTTTCACTATTTAAAAGCATAATAACTAGATAAATATTTTCAGATAGCCATTTCGCTAGATTTTTAAAACTTTTGTTAAAGTGAAACAGCATTTGAAGTTTACTGAATATCACTCATACACATAAATATCCAATTACATTGTAACTGATAGAAACCGAATGAAGTGTTTTAATTCATTTGCTAAATAGCAGTTATAGGGTAAAATGCATGTTCTAACAGGTGCCATACCTACTACTAAATACATCTATGAGCAAATATTAAGGCTGTTTCTGGAATAGCTAAATCCGGAATATTTTGATCACGAAATTGTCTGCTAATTTAAAATACATTTTGAAAGGGCTGACTTATTGCAACTACAGAAGATGTTAACACATTTTTAGAATAATATTTAAACCGTTTAGTTAACGTTTAGAATATAAACAGCGTTTTGATTAATTGTATACTCTGATCTCCTTTCTTCTGGGCTATACGTCTGCATCGTGATTTTCCGTGATAAAAGGGCTTTTCGTAATTTACAAGGGTATTGATTTTCATTCCTCTTCCACTATTTTCCAGAGACCATGAAGTTTGGCGGTTTGGTGAGAAGAGAGAGCTCTTTTCAAGAGACCAAAGGCACAGCAGTCCTTTAGGAAACTGGGCCGAATACGTTGAAAAGTATACAGGGTAGTCATAAAAAAGTATCCCAATAAATTTCCCTATAGCTGCCTATTCGCTGAACCAATCTAAATGAAATTTCAGATATTATTGTTTGAGAGTAGGCGATCAAGATTATGATGATTTAAAACAATCAATGTTTTTGTGACAATCCTGTGTATGCAATACCTTTATTTTATAAGTCTTCAGTTTTTCAAGGAACACAGTGTTACTTTTAGAAGTATGATGAAGTTTCACTCTTTGAAATTGATTGTTATATAATAGACGCAAAACTGTTGAGTTTATTTTAATATTTTTTTCACTCTGTAGTTTTAATTTGCGATTGTAAAGGAATCATGCGATATTCTAAATTACTCAAACTTTCTTTGCATTGACGTCACCAGGTCTATAAATGTTTCTTCTCTTCGTTTTCAATTCTAAATAGACTCTTTGATTTTGATATTATTGCAGTCATGTAGGTAAACCCATGCTTCAGCATGTGTAACTAACTATGTATTTCCTATTATCTTCTGCTAAACAGTTTTCATACTGGGTTCTACATACTGTTCTGAATTGGGAAGCATGCTTCGGCAAAAGCTGGTGAATATTATGCTTTTCAGATCTATAAAACTGTAATTCTTGCTTTATTATTTTATTTATTGTTACTACAAATGTATTTAAAAACTTTGCAACTGATTTCTGCCTCTGCAGACGTTTCTCTTGTTAGCAATGTTTTGAAATTAGAAATATTAAAAACAGTACGTGCCTTTTTCAGGTATTCATTTGACGTCTTCTTTTCATGTAAAAGTAATGACTGACGGTTCTTTTTTTTACGACTAATTGCTGTTGTTGTTTCTTATGGCTTTATTCGCAAATCAATACATTTACATCAGACCACTCACCAAATAACGAAACATTAAATTCAAAGTTGACATCACCAAAATATTAAAAACATTTAAAAATTATAAAAAAAAATTCAAATATTTACAATAACAATAAATTAAGACATAAAAATTAAAATCTTAATAATCTTCAGTGATTAAAAGAGATGCAACTGTGTTCTCAGGACATAAGATCTCTGACCATCTAACACAGCAGGAGAACATCATCAGTATGTTCTAACTTAGTGTCAAGGTGAACTGACGAGAAAGATTTATGCTTATTTATAGTATCTGTGTTACAAATGGGGCATTGCTATTAGTTAGTATACCTATTCTGCTGAAATGTTAGGCTTTTCTGATTAATAATAGTATTGCTTATTTTACACTTAGAAATTGCACATGTGCTTTGGTTGAAGAAGCTTCCTACGATCACGAAGAGCTTGGTTCTGGAAAACTCGAGTAAGAACTATGTTGGAGATCTTTTCTGAATTGAAAGGAATACTTCACAAGGTATTGATTCCCCTTGTGCCTACAACCTTGCAGCGCTGAAGATATCTGCGCTCGAGCTCTTTTTCAGTTATCCTAATGTTAAAAAAAACATGTCATACAAAATCTGCTTTTCGTCGAAATACTTAGATTTTTGTATATGTTTTTCAAATACTATTTCTTAGACTATAAACAGAAAATTACTTGCAATTAAAATAAAAATTAAAATTAATTAATGTGCAGTACTAGTAATAATGATCAAATTTACATATTTAAATTACTTCCCTATAATAACGAAGTAAAAAGCTTAAGTATTTAAATATCACTGCCTGTTACATCCTGTTGCCATTTCACATGTAAAATTTTAAACTATTGCTTAAAAAGTTTTTAAATTCTGAATGTGTGCTGTAAGCATAAAATATTTTACATTCATAAAAAAAAGAAATAAATGTTATTCATTACATCAATGCTAATATTCAAGAGACTCGAACCAATAAATTTTCGCAGCATTCTTGCATAATTTATGGGCATTTAAAATTTGAAATTAAACGTTCTGTTTCAGCATATCCAGTGGACCACCAGTGTCACTTTGCTTTCGCATCATATTTGATACGGTGGGTCCACTCAGGGAAAGTGAAGCATGTCATGTATGGGGTCACTGGGGAATGAGAAAAAGTAGTCTTGTCTTCAAAGGGGCATAGGATCGACAAGATTCATAAAATTACAACCAGTTACTTCCAGTAATCAATATTCCATAAGATTAGTTCTACGAGGGAATCAAGAAATTATACGAAAATTCCAAGCATTATATAGACTTATAAAGGTTTGCTTATTGAAGGTTAAGAAGTCGGATATTGTTTTCTACTTCTTATTTGTTTTCTTTTTCCTATTCTAATCTGGTTTTAGTTTCTTCCATTTAATGCGAGCCGAGCACTAAGACTCTTTTCTAAATGCACTGTGTGTACACACTTATCAAAAACAAATAGAGAAAGATAGGTAGACGAGTTTACTATTGTTTAATGTTTAGATTTTTGATTTTTGTTTTTTGTTTCCTAATGTTCTCTCTTCTCTATTTCATTGGTCAGCCTGCAAAAATTCATTGGACACTACTCTACGCTCATAATTTAATTATGTAATTCTTGATTTAGTTAGTCAATAAAGGAAATGAAAGATCATGTGATGCCTTGTCACACAAAGGAAGTTTCTAATGGGATCAAAAATTAGTTTATGTGATGCAATATAAAGCATTTTAAGGGGCTTAATAAATTTTTAAATGAAAAAAAAAAAGACAGGGAGAAGCTTATTACTTGTGTATTTTGTTCACTGCAGATAGCTTTCACTAGATGTAATTAACATACTAAGAATATTTTATCATAAAATTTATTGATAATAATCTCAATTTGTAACTAGTCTTCGATGTGAAAACTATCCATAAAAACAAGGTTAACCATGTAATATGCATTATATTCACCATACCAATTAGACACATGTACAAGACTTATCCAATACTTATATTACGATATCCTTCCAGCAAAAATGCGCAAAATTTACGACAAATTCAGTTTTTAATGCACAATTTTCGCATATCGAAGCTGAGTCGTCTGAAGGTCATTTCTGCTCCTCCTTTCTATCCTTCCCCACATTATGGAAAGTGCAAATTAAAATTCGGAAAATATTTTTCCTCAAATATTTTGTAAGTTTGTGTTATAAATTGCAGTGTATTATTTTAATTTGAATGCATTTGGTTCTGTAAATTTTATATCGGTTTTCATGGCAAAAGAATATGTGCAACCAGCTGATTTTGCTCGGATTCTTCAAGAATTATCTGATGAAGAAAAGGAAGACAAGGAAACCTTTGGATGGGAGAACAACAGCGATTTCCTTTCCTTATTTTCTTTTATTTCTAATTTTTAGAAATAAATAAAAGCATTAAAGTTAGTTTAAAGTGCGTTTTTGTCACCAGTAAGAAGTTAATTTCCTTGCAGAGGCTAAACTTACTTTTTTTTCCTACCAAGGTGTTTTTCTTTTTCATTGTCTATACTTATCTTTGATGAATATTAAAACTAGCTTCGATTTTAAAATATAATTATTAAATAATAAATTTAAAATTTTCTATAATGAAATACATCATTGCATTTCCATCTCACTAACATAAGAATTTAAAAATAATTTACTTATATTTGAATGTGATATCATTTGTATTTTGCAATAATAAGATTAATATTTTATTTCTTAACAAATTTATTATCAATATTCACTCATTTCTGTCGTTTTTCGTGCCAAAAACGGTAAAATAACGGATGTCGTAAAAAATGCGACGCGCGCGCGCTCATGTAAAATTGCCAAGAGCGCGTGCTGGAAGGTTATGAAGATTTTTGAAGTTTGCTGTTGAAAATGAGCTGATGAAGAAAAAAGGTATTCCCAAGAATGAAAAACAAAACAATATTTTTATTGAACCAAATAAGAACTTTGGAATACTACAGTCTTATTGCCAGTTAGCAAGGGCCGTGTTCATAAATTGAATCAATTGGACTTTAGATTCTGTTCCCTTGGAGGGAGTGCCAGATGGTGGTAGAAGAGCGCATTTTGGCGAATCTGGTGTGTATCCTCTGCAGAAGACGTCCGACAAGCTAGAAGCTGACATACCGATCAACATGCTGCCTTCTTCTAGGACACCCTTGCCACACTGTTTCTCAACCATGTCGACGGTGACTTTGAAAAGACGTTGGATTCCACTGAAGAAAAAGAAAGTTGGACGTTATTAAAACTTCAGAAAACTACCAGTATTCAGTAAGACAGTAAATAAATTTTAATTTCTAAAAATGCTTAAAATTGTTGCTATTAATTATTCTTTAAGTTTTACCTAATATACAAGAAAATGTTCTTATTCGCATTTTATTTATCAATGATGCAATCAAGGAAGATTTTATAATTGAATTAGAAAAAGTTTAATATGAATAAGTTATGACATTTATATACATAAATGTCAATGTATATATACGTATATATATATATAATACATTTCAAGGCTTAAATACCATACGTATTTTATTATTCATGTAATTTAACTTTATCAGGAAGTTGTGTATTTTAATACCATTTTATCTTAGGTCTAAAATTATGGATACAAAACTGGTGTAGAATTTTAAAATTCTATAAACTATAGCATGCAGTAAGCGAAAAAATGACTAGCAATTTTTTTTGGTTTATTTAAAGGTGATCTGCTTTCAAATTTTATTTTTTATTAACTTTGTCAACTATCTAAAAGACATTTAGCGAGATCAAATTATACGCGTAAAATGTTAATGTTATTTGAGCTCAAATGTCAAGATAAAAAGTTCCAGTTAACCTCTCGATATATTGAAATGAAAGCAATAATACTTACTTCTAAATTTTCCATTAACATTACACAATGAAAGTCATAATTAGTTATTGCCACTTGTAATAGCATAAATTCTGAAACAAGTGTATTTAATTATTTGCGCTGCTAAATAGTTCTATTTTTAACTAATATACGATCCAATCAATACTTAGGTAAATATGGTTTGGTTTATTTAATTGCGGCAAAGCATGAAAGAGCTAATCGTCTTAGAGTAGGAATGCATTCGTGAAGGACTCTCTAAAGGAAACTGGCTCGTATGCACACTTAACACTTGAGAAAAGTCATGGAAATTCTCAGGCAGCTAGCCCGTTTGCCTGGAATCGAACCGATGCCAAACTATCGGTGTTTAGCGACCTATGGCTTCACCGTTGGTAGACCCTTAGATATAGACAGAAGTGTACTTTTAGAAAGCCTTTCTGAAACATTCCTCATGCAGATAACAACTAAACTCTTTGCTGTATTTAATGAATTTCAACCGATTTAATTTACCTAATTAACACCACATTTTTTATTAAAGGTTTTATTTTAATATCAGAGATAGTATTAAGTCAGCAGTCTATTTTAAATTTATTTAAACAAACTCTTAATATAAAAGGTAGTGATAAGTTAGCTTTTTCCAGAATTTTTAACCATTACCAAGTCTTATTTTAAGTTGCTTTAGTTATAATATGACGATTATTTTACAAAATAAAATTTAATTAAACTCAGCCTCAAAAAAGTTTTAACGTATCGATTACAAGGAAAAGTGAGAATTGTTCTGGGAAGATTTCGTTACACACGATGATTCTGCTGCAGGAATGTAATGGAGAAGATATAATTCTAAATTTTCTTTTGCGAAATAATGGGAATATTTTTTTAATCTATGCAATATTAAAAAATTGTTATTTATATTGTAATATGAAATGCAATTGTAATCTGGGATATGACATTCTCAGCATTATATTTATTTAATTAAAATTTGCATCTAAAATTTAACTTAAATTTTTGTAATAAAATAATTAATTTTTTAATGTATTGGTAAGAAGTATTTTTATTCCAAACAATCATTTGAAATGTTAAATTTGAATTATTTAAACTGATCGATTTCGTAACTGGACAGCCAATCAATAATTGATTGGTTGAATATTTTTTTAGTCAGTCTGCATACACCGCGGAAACGATATAGCAAAAATATTCAAAAAATTATATTTATTTCTTCGATTTATTTAATTTATTATAATAAATATTATTATTTTGATTTCAATTTAATTTTTCAACTTGCAATATATCTCTTGTTCCGAGAACATTATGCTCACACTGAAAATTGCTTTAACAAGGAAAAGAGGTCGCAACTAACTTCTTTCTTTATTTTATTATTTATTAGCTGCTACCGTGCCAGCCTTCGTCTGGCTTTTAAATGTACCGTAAAAATGCCTGAAAAAAGTGTATTACATATAACAAAATTACAATGAAATAAACAATATCCCTTAGTACAGATATTAATTATCCTAATAAATAAATTAACGAACTTCTCTCAACAAACATCCAGTATCCAAAAGAAACATTAAATTTAAAAACTGCACAAAATTATCGCTCTCATTTTTACAAGTGGCAACAGTGCTGATTTTCAACAGTCAGCAGTCCAGTATACAACTGAATAAAAACTGTTGCCAAAACCACATTTCTAAAAGAATGAAACTATTCAAAATGATACAATAAAATCGAAAAGATAAAAAAGAAATCTGATTCGAATTTTGAAAAAAATCGCTTCGAGGTGCACTGGCTGTTGTCTATGCACTGGCTGTTGTCTAGATGCACCTATGTATCAAATTTCGTAGCAATGGGTCTGTTAGCTTACGCGCAGCAGGAACGGAAGACACACGGACTCTTTCTTTTATTAATGTAGAGATTATTAATTGATTACTTTATCTTTACTTCGTATTAATTTTTCAAATTTCGAAATATTCATTGTTTATTGTCAGTCTACTTAATTCTAATTAATTTATGAATTTACCATTATTAGGGAGAGAGAGAAATAGATAAAAAGAGAGAGAGAGTAAAAATTAATATTGTTCAAAGGAGAAGGCGTGAAAAATATACAGTGTCGTTGCCGGAACTCGACCCTTTATCTCTGGAATACGCGTCGAGTATGGTTCGAATTACATCCCGAAGACATGCGGAAAGGAGGAAGAAAATACCTTAAAATGTTTCTTACGTAAGAAACGCTAAACGTAGTTTGGCTGTCGTTGCCGCACGCATACCGATAATAACATTATTCTGTTTTAAACACTGGAAGAAAGAAAATACTTACCAGCACATAATAGGAATTCTGTCTTGGAACTTAGACTCTGTTGCTTTCTCTAAGGCAGCCATGAGATCTTCTAAGTGGGGCCTAACGTTATCATTGGACAATACCTTCTGGAAGCATGGGGCGTTCTTCAAATATTCTAAGGAAAAAATACAATCATAAAATTGGGCTGCAGAAAAGAGACAATAACTTGTGTAAAGAAAGGGGAATAATTATTTTTCATTTATTACAGGAAAATAATTTGACATAAATAATATAATGCTTGAGATGATTTAGATTTTATACTTACGGGCTCGTTCATCTGTTCCGTGTGTGCACATGAGAGTTTGATATTTCATTGGTTCAGCCATAACCATATCATATACCTCTTGCAGTAAAGGTGTGAAGCAAGATTTGGAATAGTTACCCATGCATTCCATACCTTCTTGGACAGGCCTAAAAATATACATAAAAAGAAAATGTGATTTAAAGCTTTTATAAACTATAACATGTAGTAAGTATGAAAATGGTTCTCTTTCGGTTCTGTTAAACTTTTTTTTTTGTGTGTATTTTTTGTTTATTTAAATTTTCGCTAGCTAAAAAATTGTGTTTATACATTCACCATTTTAGCATTTGGTGATTAGCTGTTGGTTTGGCAGTTTATATCTTCAATAAATATTTCCAGCAAGTTATTTCAAGCTAGAAAACAACCTGTTCTAGATTATTCGGGCTAATGCCGCGGAAGCAGGTCACGCATAATTCAAACTATAAACTTTCATGCATATTGTATATGTTTATGTCTTAATATAATTAGTAATTTTACTTTGTTTTTGAGAATGTTTAAATATTTATCGAATTTGTCTGCGTATTTTTCGAAGTGCTATTTTTTTAATTGTATTTGGATCCCCCAATGGTCGACGATGTGGAATAGAATTTCAACAGAAGCCATTGTTATCTCGGATTGAAGTAATTGTTAGTATCACTTTCTCTTGTATTTTCAGTATGATTCTCTTAATCTTGTGTTTTCTGATACTTGAAACGCTTAGCACTTATAATGTGTTCTTCATTCATTTTAGTTCTAATGCTGTAAACCATTTTTAAAAGCATAAGAAGAAAATATGTGCGAATATATGCATGAAAGAAAAAATCCCAGTTATCAATCAAACGATGCATTTGACTATTCACGTAACAGAACAAACTGTACGAGGCAATCGTTAAACCTAAACCTAAAGTTGCAATGCACTGATTTCTAGATCATACTAAAACTTGCGCGTGTTTATTTCTTTGCACTTTTGTGCATAGCGTTGAGTGTGCGTGAGTAGGCACTGCCAAGCATGGTATAATTCGCAACCGAATAATCGAGAGTATAAGTACGCAATGGGATGATTAATCGCATTTTAAAACATTCATAAAAAGAACATTTTAGGGCATTTAATTTTCCTCCAGAGATTTATTAATTTTCTTATTAAATATTGGCAGTTCAATATACCTTAAATTTTATTTCTGAAACAACGACGGAATATAAATTTAAAAAATAATGTTCAAATAAAAACGGTAGTGCTAAGAATATTATGCATAAAAATTTATAAAATTGCCGAAAAGTCTGTCGGCGGATTTTAAATGACTACTGTTTGAGCATATAAAATATTTCAGAAAAATTATATCGGAACAATTTCAAAACACCTATTTTTTTATAAAGTTCTTTTTAATTAAATTCGTAATTTATTTTGGAAATGTTGTAATAGAAAAAAAATGTAAAAATGGGATGCATAAGCATAAAATTATAACAATTTTATTTGAGTTTTTAATTGCTTAATTTTTTTTACCCGAAAAATTATCAAAATAAAACTGCTCTTATTTGTCTCTTAAAGCCTATCAATGCTCCAGTGCGTTACCGAATTTAATGCGACTATTTTAACTAACATTACTGTTTATTACTAATACTGTAGAGTTAGTTAATGAGGGAATATGAAATAGTTAATACAACTATTAATGCAACTGTAAGACACTTATGAGCTACAGCTTCACAGAGAAGTGACAAAGATTTGAATCTTGTTCAGTGTAGAGTCCTTGATACCTCATGGACTAATTAATCATAACAGGAGCACTAAGAATGATTTTACTTTCTTTCCACAACTATTTTACTTTAATGTGAGCTTCTTTATCAAACTCATGTTAAATGTTCAGTAAATTTATATTTAAGTTTACATTACTGAAAAATGTACATAATTAAGTAAATAACTAGGTAATCAAGTGTAGGTAACCTGGTTTTTAAAGAGCACGCAAAATAAAACGTAAACATTTTATATGCCAATACTCAAATCCTGTCAAATATTTATAAACAAAAATTAAATTTAATGGCATTTTAATTATGACTCTTTTATAACCACATTTTTTTCATTTGAAAAATTATAATGCGTATTACAATACTTATTTTTCTGAATACAAAATTTTCATTTATATTTACAAGAGATTAATTTTAAAACCAATTTATATTTTTTAAGAACCATAAAATTGTACATAGTTGGAAACAGCGGGATATTTTTTTAGAAGCATAAGTTCTTCAGATCTGATGATTGTTTAAAATTATAGAGAAAGAAATCTGGTACTCATTATTATTGCAACCAGCTCAGTAAAAATCGCCAAATTTTGAAAAGTCGCCAAAGTCCGGCAACCACGCGCATAACAATTCTTTGAGTAACCCTATAATCGTAAATTGCAACTCCAAAACTAAAGGAAACACCATTTCCTCTGTAAAAAATAGGCGAAATGTACCGTGGGGTTGCGTTATTACGTAAGTACCAGAAATTTATAGCACAGTAGAGTTTTTAGACTTTACAAAGCAGTAAACATGAACAATCAGCCGTGTTACCGTCTGGATTTGAACCCCAAGTCTTCCGAGGTCCAGTCGGATGTTTCAATACTTACATCACGAAGACACTGCGTCGAGAAGGCGAAATACCTTAAATATGAAGTTTTGTTGTCTTGATACTAATTTTAATGTTATTTCAGTGCTTCTTGAATTTTTTTCATACAGTGTTATGCACTATATTCTGCCTGATTGTTCTAAGTAAGAATATTTTCCAAATAACTAATATAGTGAAATTTTATTGAGTTATTTGCTAGGTAAAAAATTATTTTTAGGTAATGAACAAGATTTTACTTTAATATTCTTCACAGTTTTTATAGGCTAGAGGATTTACTAAAAGCAGCTACGTTTCTAAAGTAAATACTTACTCGCACACTTTGTCAATTTCTTCATCGGTAGCTGGTACACCTTCAGTAGCACTAACCAGTACAGTTGCAAGGCATAAATCTACCTCACGCATATGGCAACTTTCAGCGGCAACACCATGCATGGATGCTGCTAAAATTATATAAAATTTCTCTTAAATATAATACGACTTATCAAATTTTGTATAAAAAGCACACACACACATACTATATACATATAAAAAAATTAAGATCTAATATTTTCTAAATTGACTGATTTTTGAAAAAAAAAATATTGTGTAATTACTTCTTTTATTTACTTTATCTTTTTTTTTTTTTTTTTTTTTTTTTTTGTGCTTTGAATTTTGTTTCTAATCGATTATCATACATGTTAGGTTTTTATGACGCCACTAATTATGCTTATATAACTAATTTTACTTCTCTGTAAAAGGTAGTTTGTACATCATAGAACTGTGTAACATATTTAAAAAAGTTAAATAAAAATGCATAAAAATTGTTAAATATTATTAATGAAAACTAATAAAAGTAAGACTTGCTAATCTAAAATTAGAAAACCGTAATTATTAGCAATTGTTTACTCACAGAAATGTATAAAATTTGTTTATTGTGCTTATTATCCAAAACAGTAGAAGATTAATACATTTTAAACTTTCATTGATATATTATTAAATATTTATCATCGTATCACTTTTACCCCAGAATGGGTTAATAAATAAAAGCGTATTAGATTCTTAATTTCGGTTTAATTGTAAAACGGAATGTGTGATATTTGGCGCATTTCTAGATAGTCTTCAATTTTTACAGCGAATCTCGTTTCGGATGTAGGATATATTAAAATTTATATTCAAAAGAGAAAATTTTACTAAAAGCAACTTATTTAAAAGTCTTTAATTTTACTAAAAGTAACTCATTTAAATGTTTTTCTCATCGACACAATGTGTAACTGATATTTAAAAACATAATTCCATTATACATGCTTGGTGGATAACTAGACGCAGATGAACTTAGCGTTCAACATGAAATTTTACTTTGCACATATAAATTTTGCAAATCTTTATTGAAAAGATATTTCTAATAAGGTATTTTTAAGATGTTAGAAATCTCTGAAGATGTAATAAAGGTCGCTTCTTTCGTAAAAGACTAGTATAAATTACTTTACACATTATGACATTTACATCCTTAATATTTTAATCAGTCAAATTTAAATTAAGAAATTTATATTGATTATTTTTTAATCAATTTAAATTAAGAAATTTATATTGATTATTTTTTAATCTTTATCTAATTATTTACATTTTCAGTTTAAAACAACAATGTTCTAAGTAGATAAAAAGACAAATTTTAAATAAGAAAAATATTGGCAAGTTTTTCGGAGACTTAAGCTATCCAAATTGATGACAATAATGTCAAATAGATAAAGAAATACTTTTCTTTCTTAGCTGACTAGTTAGCAAATTTTGAAAAATAGTATTCTAAGATGGCATTAAATCGAAACCACGAGACAGATCTATAGCACACGAAGGACGACGTGTAAATGCGAAATATCTCCTGTCATCATAAAATATGAAAATAACACATCACACAACACTATTTTTCAATTTTGCGCCTTACAAGTGATATGTTTTCTTAAATAACTACATAATTCCCGAAGTATATTATTAAAGTTTCGTTATCTACGCATTTGTTTTGACATTCGGAGAATAGAGATTGTATCAATAAGAATACTCTTCTATGAAGTTGCTGCTAGGTAGTAATGTGGCCAAATAATAATGTAATGTAACTTTTGACACTCTTGATCGAATAGATTTGGCCTTATAAAAGGTTTTTAGAGCTGTCGCTAGCTAATTTTTCGGAATAATTTGAAATTTAGTTTTATTTCATTTTATGTCTGCATTGTAACAGTAGTATTTCCATGGTTATTTGAATTTTTATAAAGCATTTATGAATGTTTTGAATTCAATCAATGAATCATCATTATTTTTATCATTAAGGGAAAATAGCTGGTGTATAACACTGTTATTTACTGAGGTAAAAGCATTTTATTGATTTCTTACTACATGAAAAAGTTAAAAATATAAATTTCCAAGAACTAAAATAGTAAGTGGTATTTAAAAGACTGGGAAATTTATTAAAAATTATTGCACGATAAATCTGTAATATATTTAACTAAATTTAGCGATGCATTATTTCATTTAAAGTAGTTGAAATTAATTTATATATTATTATATTTAAAGCCAAGAAAATATTTAAAATATACTTGTTTCTAATTTAAAAGTCGTTCTTAAAGTTTTCTTTTTGAGATTTTAAACTTTCAGTTTTCTTTTTAAAAGCAGAAATGTATTAAAAATTTAAAAAATTCAAAATAATTATCTATATTTCAAAGTTGTAACTCTAAATATCTATAATTGCTATCTCGTTCTAGAATAATAGTTGGTAAATTATATCATCCAAATCTATTAAAATATTTAATAACTTTAATTAAAGATATTAAAAAATAATTCTGTATTGCTTTATTTTGTTAGTACTATAATATTTAAATTAGTAATTGAAGAAATATGTAATAACAATAAATATTACACATTAACGCAAATTTTTATGATGATCCTTAATGTTTATGAAATACTGAAGCGGTATTTTTAATAAAATTGCAGTCAGGAAAAAAAAAAACATACACACACACAAATTTACACTTTTAGAAAAGTTAAAGTTCTTACAATTACTATTTAATATAACAGAAACATTTAAAAATCATTAGCATATATGGAATATGGATAAAAGGATGAGAGCAGAAATAAATTACAGCAGCGAAAATAATTTTAATTATAAATATTATGATTTACGAGAAGTTTTTTTTTTTTTTTTTTTTTTTTTACAAAAGCTTTAAGCTTTCTGTTCACTTTTCTTCGGGGCTTTGGAAAATTACTTTACTCAAAAAGAGCATTAAAACTGAATTAATAATAAGAAATAATATAAAAATTAAATTTGTATCATGGAGTCAAATATTTGCTCATGTATCTAAAAATGAGCTGCGGCGTTTTAGAATAATTTTCTAGCTTTTTTTCTGCATCGCATTTTTACGGCTTAAATTATACTGCATGTTTCAGATCTGGAACTTTTCATCTTAAATATTTCTTAAACGTAATAAATGGGATCGGACTATGTGCTAAAAGAATTTAGAAACAATTATCTATTTAAAATACGTTTGTAAAATTTAAATTATTGTGCAAGGTCAACCATTTTAATCATTTCCATCACAAAAAATGAACTTACCGACGAGACAGGCGACAGTCGCAACTAGAAACAACATGATTATAATGTGATGGATAAGAAGGAGATGTGTCCCTATACGAATCTACAAAAATTTACCTCAACGGCCTTTTTATGTGTTACTTAAGGAAATTCTGAAAGAGAGACGTCCACTTGAACGTCACAAACACGTGTTTTATTTTTCTTTTTTTCATTTCTTAATCTTGAACCCAAAACAAGTGAGGAAAATTTGATTTCAATCCTAGCTTTCCTGGAGCACAGATTCATGGGAAGTTAAGCGAACTGCGTCACATGCATGTTGGGCTATTGTTTGAGGTTTCATGATCTAATGCCAACCTTTCCTACCCACATGCTTGTTTTTGTGTTTGTGGAGATCTTGATTTTACAGTGGCAAAATTTAAAAAAAATATTATACTGACTCATTTAGTGGATGAAAGAGGAGAGGATATTAACTCATTAGCATAATAGAGTGACAAATTATACTGAAGTTACCATAATAAGAAAAAGTTTAATAGAGCGGGTCCAGCCAATTGCTATTAACTGCGTATTTTCCAATATATTATTAGTTTTATGTAATCACATTTAAGATAGGTTTGCCATTTCATTCGCAACAGCCCGTCTGGCAAGTTGCACGTGACCTTCGTTTAAAAGAGTATTAAAAACTAATAATGAAGGTCAAATTACTGAGAATTCTCAATTTCATATCTGTGCAAATTAGAATTACGTAAAATCATTCATGTGCACACTAAAATTTGTGGAATATTCTTTTTGTTAACAGGTATGCAAACACGTAGTTTCAGTTCATTGCAAAATCAAGAAATCTATGTCGCCCAAACTTATTTTATTTTTCAGATACTCATCACAAATTCATAGCCAGGATTAAGTAGAAAACAATAAATACATTTCAAGTTTAGAACTTTAAAAAAAAGTTTGTTCTTATATAATGAACAAGACGGGTTCATTTCCTGCTTTTGCATACGTAGTAGCAAGACAAAAATTAAAAATATAACATTTTTATTCTATTTTTTAACGTTATTTGTACGCCTTCTTAACACGATGACATCTTTATGAGATTCTGTTTGATTAAGTCATTAGTATTGAATAAAAAGTGACGAATTTTAAATTTTAAACGTGGTGTATGGCTATATAATCTGCATTAGATAATATTATGAAATCAATATATTTACTGTAAATGTTCTTTCCTATCTTTCTAATATGCACATATATATCACAGTTATTTACAAAAAAAATTAAACTATATTAGCAGACATTTATCCATACTTTTACAGTAGTTTTGCTAATATTCAATATGAGATTAGGAAATAAGATTCTTAAGGAAATAATTCTCCTATTGAAGAACAATATGTTAAATATAAACGGAAATTTTAATTTTATGAACAATTTAAACTGCTCTTAAGATATTGCGTCGAGGACATTTAAATCTAGAACAAATTTTCTTGCATTTGTGGTCACCATCCAAAATAAATTGCGGAAAATTAAAAAATATTTATTAAAAACTTTTGTTATTAAGTTATAATTAGTGAAGTTGCAAAACTGTGCACCAAAAGAGCACAGGAGATGCGTACAGAAAGTGACTGCTTCTAATAAGACGCAATTAAAAGAGAAATTAATTTAAGTTTACTAAAGCCATACGAAAAAGGAAAATGATTTTACGAACACTTTTATTTGTTTCATGCAAAGCAAATCATATAATAATCATTAATAAATATAATAACAAAATAGAAAGGACAAAAATAAGACATTATTATTTCCTTGAATCACTGGTGACATGCTTTCATAAAAAGCAATAAAATATACTCATGAGGTGAAGTGAGAATCGGAACAAATAAGAAGTGGTTGCCAAAAAAAATATGTTATTAATTGGAACTGAAAATCGATGTAAATGCGTAAACATATAAATTAATTGAAACTGAAGTAAATCTTTTTCTTTCTCTTTTCATTTCCGCAAGTGTATTAGAACGAATTATTGTCAATATTAGTATTAAAATGTTTTTAAAAATCTGAAATGTTTCATATTTTTAAGGTTTCCTCAAAAGGATTTGTTAAGGTTTTGTATATTTTCGCTAAGCTCACAGTCTAACAATCTGCTCTTTCATTTACTCCTTGTTAACTCCTCTCTATCATTTTGGGTTTTTTAGCTTTATCGTTTTCTTTGCACTTAAGCCACATACAGTTCAACACCCAAATCACAATTTTTTTAAAAGCTGCATATCAGTGTATGTTTAAAAGCCACTTACGTATCAACAACAAAATCTCAAAATTTTTAAAAGCTGCATAGCAGTATATATTTAGAGGTCACATACACTTCAACAACAAAATCACAAAATTTTTAAAAGCTGCAATGCAATATATGTTTAGAATTTCCGATGTGTGTTAAATGTTTTGTCAGTTAAATTTTTGTTTTCAAATAGTTTTTGTCGGTATTTTCGCAATTCATCATATCAATGTTCAGTTTTCTTACTAAGGTGGCTAACAAAAATATTTATGTCTTTTTATTATTGAATTTATTTAATAAATATTAGCTGCATACAATTCATTTCAACAGCAAATTCACGAATTAAAAAAAATATCTTTAGAATTTCCGATACAGCGTTAGAAGTTGTCATACATATTTAAATACTCCCTGCATAAAAACTAACCCTTCGCTCGGCTAGCCGCCTAAAATAGATATCCTAAGAAAGAAAAGTATGTAATAATTTCAGAGAGTCTACCTAGACTAATATTTCACAAAAATATTGAATATTCCTAATTAGATATTTCATTATTTTTATACATGCTATATTATATTTGAAAGTATTTTAGGTATTACTGCATGGTAACATGCTTTGTCTTCCTATTATTAAAGTCTTTGTATGTTAACTTTATTTAGTATCACGTGCTTCGCTCTTACGCCACATAAAATTTAGTTCAACAGCAAAATCATAAAATATTTAAAAACAGCCTATCTTTAGATTTTCCAACAGACAGTCTAGCGCGCTGGAAATAAAAATGTTTTATTTTGAACAGTGTTGCCTCTTCTCGCTTTCAAAACATTAAGTTTGTTAATCAAAAATTCATCAGAGTTTTTCAAAGTATGAAATTCTAAATTAAAAATTCGGGCTTCCGCGTGCACATGCTCCGGTCGAGGACTAAGTAATTTAAAATTTGATGCCACTAAGTACCAGCGTTTTTTCATAATGCCAGGAACATATTGTTGCGTACGTACGGGTTCGTTATGAAATGAATGCACAAATCCGATGAAAAATGAACAAAAATTTATTATTATCACAACAAAAATGCTTACATTTTCTCAAATTATCATGCAGTATTACAATATCTCACAGTAGTTATCTTTTAACTACTCAAATGTACAATAGAACGTAATTCATAACAGCTACAGAACGCTAATCCGCGAATTCGCTATAATCAACAACAGCAGTTTTCTAAACAACAACAAACTAAGCAACTACTACAAACTGAGATGTTTTCCTCCTTTTATAAGATTTTAAAATCACGCGCTAGAATTTTCCAGTACTTTCTCGAAATCAAAAAGAGATATTTATTTATTTAATGCACGCGCTCTTGTATTTTCAATTTTCCGGCTTAGCTTTCTTTTAATATTCGTCACGCGCTGCACTGCGCGAGAAATAAAACCATTTAATTTATAATTAAACTAACATTAGCTTTTTAAATACCAAATTCGTAACACTATATTCAAACATGCAGATTCTTCGTTATTAATTTCTTTAAAAATAATTCAGGGCGATAATATAAGGTGGCGACAATTTGAAAAAGGGTACTCCGTTTATAGTGAACCAATGCAAAATCTTGTTTCGAGAATAATATCTCCTTTTGGGCTCAAGAATCTTGCAACAAATTTTTAATGATTTATTTAATCAGTCCAGGATTGTATTTCCTCTGCTATAACCACCCAGTCCAATACAAAGATGCTTGAGAAAGATCTCACCCATAATATTTTTCTCAGCATAGCATCTCATTTATCTGATCTTATCTCATTATAACAGCTTTGGTAAACTCCGTAACATTATGTATACATTTATAAATTTGTAGATTCCTTTCCTGGCGAATGCATTAAGCAGATAAGCATGAATGAAATATACGTTTGGAATTTTATACTCCATAGCGACAATTTGACCAGAAAGACTATTAATTTCGTTTTGGCTTTTTGCGTTGATTCATTACAAGCATTGTTTCACATTTCAAATTGTTGCCGCCAAATATTATCACCCAGTTCAGTACTGTATTATATTTAAAGGCATTAAATAATGAAAAATCTGCATAATTAAAGAATGAGCATAAATGTAATATATGTTTCTCGCATTGTGATAAAACAACGGTACCTAGAGCCATCCAATTTTGAATAACGTAATCCTCCTGCGAATACGGGCATTTGTAAGCTCAAATTTGGAATTTGTTTTATTATCGATTTCATATTTTGTAACAATTCAGCGAATTTTTGATTGACAAACTCCACGATATCAAAGCGATCAACGGCAACGTTTACAGAAAAAAACATTTTTATCTCCAGCGCGTGAGATTGTATATCGAAAATTCTACGGTAACAGACAAAATGTAAAAAAAAAAAAAAAAAAAAAAAAAAAAACGCTAATTTGGACGTAATTTAAAATCTGAAACCTTTCAGATTTTTTTAAAAATTGTCTGTTTATGTTGCGTTGTTGTAATGTTGAAAAGCACACAAGGCTATCTGACTAAAACGAGAAACGAGGGGTGATTTCGTAGAAAGATTTCTAAGAGAAACTGCATCATATTTACGTAGCGCTTGGGAAAACCATTAAAAGCCACCTATGGAATTCACTCGTTTGCCTGGGGTTGAACCCGCGTCAAAGTCTTAGGATTTGCGCTCTTAACAATCTCAGTCTATGGTGGGACTAATTATACTGATAAATAACGTTACCTATCTTCGAATAACATTATGTATAACAGCTATTTGATTTAGTGTCCTTTTCGCTCGGCCGCTAAAGAGTTCGTTAAGTGAGTTGAATACGTTTTCCGTGGTCAATTCTATATTGCATATATATGTAACGTGTATACGAGCAAGTTTCCCTTAGAACGTCCTCCACGAAGGCCTCCCTCAACTTAGGCAGGTAGTCCTAGTGTGCTTTGCCATTGTAAATTTG